TTCACAATACATTCCGTACAGATCTTCAGGAGAAACTCAGAAATACGCAGGGGCGACAAACAGACTTTCTTCACGCAGCATGGCTCGCGTAACAATCCTTACATATATTCTTACATTCCTTATCTCATTCATTCTTATTATTCATCCTATCATTCATTCTTACATTCCTTATCTCATTTATTATTATTATTCATCCTAACATAATTCTTTCTACTATCCTACCTTTTATTATCTCATTTATTCTTTTTATTCATCCTAACATTCATTACATCTTCCATCCTAGCTTACATTATCTGATTCATTCTTTTTATTTATTCTTACATTCATTCTTTCTTCTTCTCTAATCTCTACCTTTCATTATCTCATTCATCCTTTTTATTCATCCTAACATTCATTCTTTCTCCCATCCATCCTTTCTTCTATTCTACCTTTTTTATGTCATTTATTCTTTTTATTCAACCTTATATTACTTCTTTCTCCCATCCATACTTTTTACTATCTCATTCATTCTGTTTATTCATCCTAAGATGCATTTAATTTTTTTTATTATTCATTAGCTCAAAATGATATAACATGAACCACTCTTTCTGATATAGTGATACTTAGCAATTACATCTAGTTTTTAAAATTATGCCAAAAAAAAGTTTCCATATCCTCAGAAAGAATAGGGTTTACGTGTTCAGTTCACATATTCGTAAAATAGTACTTGAGAAAAGATGCATAAAAACTGAAAAAAATGCCAAATAAAAAGAACACATAATTTTTCTATCTTCTTGCTTTGCCATCCCCCCCCCCATTTTTCTATCTTACCCCTCCATCTATCCATAGAGTCTAACTAACAGAATAAGTTTTGTTTACAAATATCTTCTTTAAAACTCTCCACCTTGTTTTTAAACAAAACTCAATAATAGAAATTTTTGGGGATACTTTCATCAATTAGATTTCATTTTCTTTTACTTTAAAGGGAGTGCTCAGATATTTGAAAAGTATAATTTTGTACAAATTATATCAGCTAATTACAATGTACATTCTTCTTGCTGTACAGTGTACACTGTACGCATCTCAATAATTTTTACTGTCAGATATTTGGTCTAAAGCAAAATTTAACAGTTTACACTATGATGTGGCTTCAAAATATAAAGCATGATGATTACTGTACAGATTTCTATTATCTAGGGAGTACTGTACAAATTTCTATTATCTAGGGAGTACTATACAGATTTCTTTTATCTAGGGAGTACTGTACAGATTTCTATTTTATAAGGAGTACTGTACAGATTTCTATTATCTAGGGAGTACTGTACAGATTTCTATTATCTAGTGAGTACTGTACAGATTTCTATTATCTAGTGAGTACTGTACAGATTTATATTATCTAGGGAGTACTGTACATATTTCTATTATCTAGTGAGTACTGTACAGATTTCTATTATCTAGAGAGTACTGTACAGATTTCTATTATCTAGGGAGTACTGTACAGATTTCTATTATCTAGGGAGTACTGTACCGATTTCTATTATCTAGGGAGTACTGTACAGATTTCTACATGGAGAAGACTAAGTCAGGAACGCCTATAACCTGCAATGAAGCAGCATTGTTTAAGAACAAGGAGAAAACTCTGTACTTGTACAGAACTAAGGAGGGGGATTGGGTGACAGGTTGGTTATATCCGTTATCACGTGACTACTTTGTTCAAACTTTTAGGATCTGTTGCGTTAAAAAAAAGAATCTGATAGGTAAAGTAAATGATTCCTTGTAAATTAAATTTTTTTAAAGATTTCCCTTCAGAGTACTCTATTATTCAACAGATGAAAAAAATAGTGTTTTTTTAAATTAAACATACAAATACAAACGGCAAGCTTTTCAGAATCTGTCAATTCCGAATTTAAAAGGCGACGACTGACTGACGGTTAAGTCCTAGAAATGAGGCAGCCGGGTCAGTCTGATCATTTATCTGCTTTGAGTTTTGAAAAGAACTGATCTACCTTAGTTTAGGTCTTTTTTCATCTTAAATTCTACTAAATTAGATTTTAATATAAGTACTTTAGAATAAACGGTATTCAGTCCTCAGGTAATTGAAAATACGCAAAATAGTCAATAACAAGAAAATGCGTATTATTCTACAATTTAATTTGTTCACATAAAGGGGGTGCAGGTAGCTATTTTGGCCTGTACACAGGGGGCGGAAACGTCATGTATGTGTATTTGTACCAAAAGAGTGTGTGTAAGTGATAACGAACCGGAGGCGTGTACTGTAAGTATACACAGTACACCTCGGTATTTGTACAGTCTAGGAGAGTACATTTGTTTATTGTTAACTGTAAACTTAAAAATAAGTTTAATCTACATATAATATATTATTTATATATTTAAGTCAACACTAGAAGCCAAATTTGGATGCAAAGAATAAAATTTGATTAAGACCAACCACCTCTTTTTACATTACGATTTCTCCCGAAGAAATTTAAATTAAATTTATATAATTAAAAGCCCGACCGTTAAAACGCTGATTTATTTTTGGTTGCTCAAAAGAATTCTCCTATTACATGCTTGTCTGTTTGTCTGTCATCTGTCTTTTTGTATGCAATAAACGTCAAAACGGCTGAGCTGATGGGACCCAAATTTTGTCACATGTCCCAATGGGAAGGTTAATTTTTTAATAAAATCCGCAAAATTTTGTTAAAAATCCGCAAACTTTTGTTATAAAATCTGAGCTGAAAACTTTAGAATTGTGGATATCGGGATTAATGCTTGATCCACTCTTTTTCTTAATCTCCAGAGCTGAAAACTTTAGAATGGGATATTCTTAATCCTGATCGGATAATTAATCTGGGGATTAAAAATGAGTGGATAACAAGCAATATTTAATCTCGAGATTAAGAAAAAGAGTGGATTAAGCCTTAATCCCGATATCCACCATTCTAAAGTTTTCAGCTCAGATTAAATATTGCTTGTTCTCCTCATGAATTTAATCTCCAGATTAATTAACAGATCGGGATTAAGGATATCACATTCTAAAGTTTTCAGCTCAGCAAACTTTTTGTTTTGTTTTTGTTTTAAAATGTATACAGAGAGAAAATGTTCACAATTGAAATAGAAGATGGGCGCAAAGCGCCCTTAAAGCCTAGTATTTGAATATTACTGTCGGAAAAGTATACTTATTTGAATATTTCTGTCGGAAAAGTATGCTTATTTGAACATTTTTGCAGGAAAAGTATGCTTTTTTAATATTTCTGTAGGAAAAGTATGCGTTTTTAAATATTTCATTAGAAAGAGTATGCTTTTTTGAATATTTCCCTTTAGGTAATGTATTCTTTTTGAATATTTCTCTAAGAAAAGTATGCTTATTTGAATATTTTTGTAGGAAAAGTATGCTTATTTGAATATTTCTGTAGGAAAAGTATGTTTATTTGAATATTTTTGTAGGAAAAATACAACTTGGGAAGATAGGAAAATCACCCGCACTCCGTAGTCAAGATCCGCAAAGAACTTCCTTCATTCAAGAATGCCCTTGTCAGGTTAAACATATTCTTATAAAAGTGATTGTTCATCAAAACTCATATCAAAAGAGACAACGGAATGATTTATATAATATCTTGAACGTATTTTGGGGAATAATTAAACAAACGAATATGCGAGGGAAATTTTCGCTAAAGATTTGATCGTTTTGGGATTCAGGAACGTTTTCTAATGGCGAAATAAACTGCTTTCCTAATCCCAAAAATTAGTTGTATTATTTACAATATCACTTTAGCACATTTTTAAATGTCGTCTTTTAGTTTTGTAATTTTTTCAGACCGAAGTTTGGCAGAAGATGGTGGGAAAGAACTGGGTTACGGACAGCGAGCTCCGAGTTATAATTAGAGCGCCAAGAGTTGTAATTACCATGGAATAATGTGCTACTGCTCACTCGCTCCTTTTTAAATATGGAAAAAAACTGTTTTAATGGGACTGTAAGTGTAGTATCAAGTGACCCTCCATTAAAAGATTGCAATGCCTGATTTACAACGGTACCCTTAAAACCTTGATCTGGTCAAAAATATGGAAGATAAAGTTGTTTTCTATACTCGAAAAGTGTTAATTTCTGTGAGTTTCTCCATTGCTTCTTATTATAAAGAAGGAATGTGCAAGCCACTTTCACAGAGAACTCGCAAATGAAAATAAACATTGTGAATGAACAAAAAACATTGATATCTTTTTCATACTTGATCAGAGAAAGCTTTCTAGGGTATCGTTGTAAATCGGTCTTGTCATCTTTGCTTGTAGGTTCACTGGAAATGACGCTAACAGTTCCTTTAATAATATACAGGGTGTCCCACGAAACATGACACTAGCAAGACGAATTGAAAGTCGCCTTTCAACTTTTAAGTTATTGGTGACCGGAGATATTAAGAATTTCGTTCAGATTTAATTTTTATAGAATAAAACCAAAATTGTCCTAATCTGAAGGAAATTCATCATATCTCCGGAAATATTGAAAGCACAAAAAAGGCAGACCACAATTTGGAAATGCCAAGACAAGGGGTATTTCGTGATTATTAATTCTAGAATTTTCCTCCTAACAAAAGTTTTCGAAAAAATGCCGCAAATTATTTCAAAGTTCTAAGACGACCTTCAAAATCGTCTAGATATTGTCATGTTTCGTGGGACACCCTGTAGTTTCGAGGATTTAGACAAAAGATAACGGACATGAGAAATATGATTCTTATTTAAATAAATGTTTTAAAATAAATTTAAAGATTATGCATCACTAAAAAACCTTTTATGTTTACAAAAAAAAAACTTGTGGAAGTAGAAAGTGAAGGAAAGAAAGCTAATTAATACAGATTTTTAAAAAGTTTTGATAAATATGGGAATTTAGAAGGACGTTGACTATTAAATATTAATTCTAATAACATCATCAAAATTATTAGATAATATTAGGATGGGATTTCAAACATGGTTTTTAGTTTGAATTGACAGGAATGAATTTTGTTCTGTGGGTTTCACATCTTCTCGTTTTAAGATGTATTTTATTTTATCATCTTTACTTCAATTAAAGAAGTGCTATTGCTAAATATCCTTTGTTTAAAACCTTCTGTCTGAATGTATGTTTGGGTTTCCCGTTGTTTTTGTCAGCGCCGAGTGATTTTTGTGTTGGACCTGACATGGCGTTAGAAGAATAGAAAGTCCTCCCCCCGTTAAACCCATAAACTGTGGAATTGAAAGACGAAGGATTTTAAATAGTCCATAAATTATGAGACAGCAACTGTTTAGTTTACACTAGTAAGTTTCTGAGCCTGAAGTTTAAAAGAGTATCGTTGAACCAAACTCCCGAGTTTCCTTTCTGGGGTCTTAACATTTTGTAGATTTTGATTTAATAGATTCGAAAAAAATGGGGAATATGAAGAAACTTCATAAAATAATGTTTCATAACAAAAATATTGATATCCACAAAACTGCCTAAACCCGGGTTTCAAAACTGGTTTTCATATCGATACCCTGTCTTAAGTTGCGGGCTCCGCGGGTCCCACCATGAAAGTTTAAAAGAAAATGCTAGGTCAAATAAACTAACAAACTTCATTGAAAAAAAAGACCATGCTAAACGTTCATATATGCAGTTTGGTCCATTAACAAGTAAGATATGACTTTTATGAAAAGACAACCACGAAAGTTTCAGCTTGGTTATAGAGACAAATCCAGATCGGCTCCAGATCAGATCCAGGTCAGATCCAGATCAGATCCAGATCGGATCCAGATCAGATCCAGATCAGAAACAGACATAAAATGTTGCATCAACTTTTAAGTCTGGTAGATTTTTATTTTCATTATAAACTAGCAGATAAATCCGTGGTTTTACGCGGTATTATCAAAAATCAACCAAAACTGGGAAGAAGACGACCTTCGAGGTAATTGTCAAAACTGCAGTTTAGCTCCGGTATAAGTTGCATTTATCTTATGTTAACCATCGCGTAGGTGCAAATATAAAATATTTATTTCAATAAAAAATGTTTTTTAAAAATTATTTTGAGGAAAATTATTTATAACTGGCCAGTTGTCTCAGTTTTTATCCTATAAAAACATAGGGATCGGATTGGTCATGATGGGGGGGGGGGTGCACTCATTACATTGAAAGAGCAAAGGGAGGGGAACCCCCTTTCCCCAATACGGCTTTGTTCAGAATTCTTGTATTCAGGTGTATGGATTTACTGTATAGTTCTCTGTTCTCCTACTTCTAGTTTGAATTATTTTTAATACCAGGTAGATAGATAGATAGATAGGTAGGCATAGAGAAGGCAGGTAGATGGGTATGAAGGTAGATCAAGGTGGTTGCAGGGTTGGGTTACATACTACAGCCTGCCAGTAAAGGAATCTACGCTATTGTTGCGCAAAAAAAATTAATCCATTTAATTTTGGACCAAAGCGTTAAGAATACGCACGTTTGAAAATCTAGATAAATCTAAAAAATAAAAATAAATTATTTAAAATTTGTTGTCTACTTTTGGATAGATACCCTCACTGGACCGAGGTAGCAAAACATATCTTTAAACAGGTAGACTTGAAACATTAAGTAAGAGAGAGATATTTGAGTTTCCAAACATGGCTGGAGATTCAAGTTTCGATCAGGATAAGAATAAACTAGCAGAATATGAAACCTCTAGCTCTGGGAGCTACAAATCCTCCAGGGGCTGCTTCAATTCCAAGACCGGAGAACTGATGGGACGGAACTTCTTCTCCTGGATCAAACTTCTCTCATTTTTCTTCATATTTTGTGGCGTCATGTCTACCCTGTTTGGATTGTGTATGGGTATATTCTTCCAGACTCTGGATTATTATATTCCTAAATTAAAAATTGAAGATTCAATGATAGGTTCTAACCCTGGTCTAGGATACAGACCAGCAGGGGGACTAGGCTTCAAAACTATTAACGGAGATTACAAGGTAAATACAAAATTAAACAAATAGTTCAATAAATTGTCAAAAACATCAACATTTACACAGCACGCCAAACTAATTGTCAATTGCACGTCAGATTAACATTTTATATGTTTTCAAGCAGAACTCTTCCTATTAAACAGCTATATAGAGAATACAAAAAAGTAATCGGATAAACACTATTTTCTCCTACGTGTGTATGTTTTTTTTGAAATAATTCCCCCTCATTCCTCTCTTTAAAAATTATATTTTTCCCTAGAAACTAGGATTGTTCGCTGAATTGGGGAAAATAAACAATTTTAAATGGAAAATAACTTTTTTGGAAAAATGATTAAAAAAGGTTGAAAAAATTTGCATTTTTTCTCCCCCAATTCATCGATATCATATCCCCCACGTTTTACACCCCTGCGTGTGCGTAATATCAAAGATAGACTAGCTACGAGGTCACCAAGTCGTATAAAAATTGACCTCATCCTCCTGTCAATAGTTAATTTCGTTTGACAATGTTTACAATTCCCTTCAGAAACAAGACAGGTCTAAAACTATATGACTGTATTAATAAAAATTATATATAATATTATTCATAAAAGACTGCAACTAATGAGATTAAGTTTAATTTTTATTTATCTCACTTATCTCAGATATTTTTTAATATTCATCAATAAATCATATTATATTTCTCCAACGACAGAAGCTGTAACAAAGCTTTGAATGAAACCTCTGCCAGTTTTCTTTTTTCTTTCAATTACTCTTATTTTTGTAAAGGGATTGTAAGTGTAATTAAAAGCGAGAATGCAAAAATGGAAATGTCCGATTTTCACCTTTACAAGTATGAATTATACATCAATTTTTTATAAATAAGACGACATTTCATAATTATCTGAATTAGATACTTTTAAACCTGGAAAAACGACAATATCTTTCACATTATTTATCAGATAAAGTCTTCAAGGCAAGCTACAATTCTTAAAACCCTATATCTTTACAGCCTGATGGTGTTAACCTCTGATATTTAAAATCAAGACGGAATTAATGATTTAAATAAATACTGGTCTACGACATCATGTTGCGAAGATATAGGAATGAAAAGTTTGAATGTGTGGTGAGTCTTCATTTCCCTTCAGAAGGTCAGGAAATCTATACAACTTTTAAGCAAATGAGATTCATGAAAATATTTTACATAATTTCACCCCTGTTTTACTACCTCTGATGTTAAGTACTTTCCAAAAGGCATTTTCCTATGGATATTTTTCCAAATAGCAACTTCCCATTTGTGCATTTTACCAAGAGTATTTTCCCAAGTAGCTTAACCTAACCTTTGAGAAGTTCCCGGCTGGGAAATTGTCACTTGGAAAGTTGCCATTGGAAAATACTGTAGGAAAAATACCTAACACCCTTACCTCTATCTCTCTTTAAAAATTTCCCAACTCCGAAATATTTATTTTCAATTTTCAGGGTTTGAGTATTTACTCTTCCTTGATCTGGTTTCGACACGGAGGAGATGGAAACTTTGACAGATTAAGAGAGAACCTGGATAAATTCCTTGAAGAATACGAACCAGGCTTCTTCGCTAATCAGGGAGCTTCACTAACCAAATGTGATTTTGAATCAAAACCTAAGTTAACGTAAGTTATCAGTTATCAGAGTCATTCTTTGAGAAATTATAGAGAAAACATCTAATCTACATATTTTTGACAAAAATAAAATAAAAATAAATTGTTTAAATCTATACATAAATCATGTTAATTTATTGATTAAATTTGAACATTTTGACATTTATGTTTGAATTCAATCTATTTATGTTTTGTGTCAGTAATTCTAATAACTTTAAAAATTTCAAGTCGTAACGGAAAAAAAGAAAAATGATAAGAAACATCTTTTAAAATTATTTCTTGACCAATCGTTAAACCAAAGAAAATGTGAATGGAGTTTATTATATTTTATTTTTTGTTATATTTTCCAATTTAAATTTTCTATTTTAGAGATGAGAGTTGTGAGTTTAACAAGGAATGGTTGAGTGATCAAGGAGCCGACATCAAGTGTATCAGTGCAGAACATTACGGGTAGGTCCAGGGCCCAGGTTTAGTGCAGAACATTACGGGTAGGACCAGGACCCAGGTTTAGTTCAGAACATTTCGGGTAGGTTCAGGGCCCAGGTTTAATGCAGAACATTACGGGTTGGTCCAGGACCCAGATTTAAAGCAGAACATTACCTGGAAGGTTCGCCCTTCAGGGTCCAGGTTTAGTTGTAAACCACGGGTAGGTCCATGGCGCAGGTTTAGTGCAGAACATTACGGGTAGGTCGGGGCCAGGTTTAGTCCTTTCACTAAGGGTAGCCCTGTATCCTAATATATTGTATCTAGGTACTACTACGGGAAGCCCTGTATCCTAATATATTGTATGTAGGTACTACGGGAAGCCCTGTATCCTAATATATTGTATCTAGGTACTACTACGGGAAGCCCTGTATCCTAATATATTGTATCTAGGTACTACTACGGGAAGCCCTGTATCCTGATTAAGCTGAACCGTATCTACGACTGGTTTCCTGACCCCTATGATATTAATGAAGTCAGAAACCATTCTACAATGCCGCTGTCGTAAGTAAACTTTAAGAAATTGCTAAGTTGAAAAATTGAAACTTTTTTCTATTTCTTATTTAAAGAAAATGCAAATTTAAAATGAACCACTTCATCTTCTGTACTCAACCCATCAATCATACTTAGGTATATCTGGATTTAAAGGAAATATTTTATGATTTGAAATACTAGTATTAATATATTTAAACAAATATTTTTTATTTTATTTATTGTACTTTCAATGCCTCCTAGTAGTGTAAATATAATGTACGCAAATCTTGCAATCACTTAAAAAAGCGGTTGAATCGTTTAAATCCTTAAATTTCCAAACCAGGAATTATTTCTACCGGTTTATCCTTAGGGAAGATTGATTGCCAATTTCTGTCAAAATAACAAATACAGTTCTAGCCAGATTTTAAATTTTGTGCTTTTTTTATTAATTTTTTATAATATGAAAACACAATGGTGTGATATGTAATAATAATCCATAACAGAATAATAATATTTAGATTGAAGAATGACAATGTTTAGATTAAAAACAGAAAATGTTAAGATTGAAGAACGATAATGTTTAGATTGAAGAATAACAATGTTTAGACTGAATAATAATGTTTAGGTTGAAGAACGATAATGTTTAGATTGAAGAATGATAATATTTAGATTGAAGAATAATAATGTTTAGATTGAAGAATAATAATGTTTAGACTGAAGAATGATAATGATTAGATTGAAGAATAATAATGTTAAGACTGAAGAATGATAATGTTTAGATTGAAGAACGATAATGTTTAGATTAAAGAACGATAATGTTTAGATTAAAGAACGATAATGTTTTGATTAAAGAACGATAATGTTTCGACTGAAGAATGTTAATGCTGAAATTGAAGAATGATAATACTTAGATTGAAGAATAAAAATGTTTAGATTGAAGAATGATAATGTTTAGACTGAAAAATAATGTTTAGTTTCAAGAATAATAATGTTTAGGTTTAAGAATAATAATTTTTAGATTGAAGAATGATAATGTTTCGAAAGAATAATGTTTAGATTGAAGAATGATAATTTTTAGAAAGAATAATGTTTAAATTGAAGAATCATAATGTTTAGACTGAAGAATAATGTTTAGATTGAAGAATGATAATTTTTAGAAAGAATAATGTTTAAATTGAAGAATGATAATGTTTATACTGAAGAATAATGTTTAGGTTGAAGAATCATAATGTTTAGACTGAAGAATAATGTTTAGGTTGAAGAATGATAATGTTTAGACTGAAGAATAATGTTTAGATTGAAGAATGATAATGTTTAGACTGAAGAATAATGTTTAGACTGAAGAATAATGTTTAGGTTGAAGAATGATATAGAGAAGATCTATGAGGAGAAATGTGATGATGATCCTAATAAATACTGTCCCTACCTGAACATGGTCTGGTTGCACTGTGATGGAGAGGACGACCCGGATAAAGAGAACCTAGGACTGGTCAGTAGACATACAGGGTTAAACAAAAAGAAAAAGACTTTAAAGGGACTGTTATTGTGTTTTCAAGTTATCTTCCATTTCAAGAATGGATGTCCGTTGCACAACATTACCCTTAAAATTTTCATCTGATCAATAATGTGGAAGATTTATTCATTTTTCTATCTCACAAAGTGTTTGACCCTATGTCTCAAGCTTTCTGTCGTGAATCCGACCTGCCACTCTATAAATGGCGAGTCACTTTAAATTCCGTTAACAATCCCTTTAATGACGACGAAAATCTTTTAAAACATAGCAATTTGCAAAGAAAAAAAAACAGTTAAAAGTTTAAGGCAACGATGAAAGTAAATATATAAATTCCGTTTCTGAAGTCTGATTCTGTAGCCCTGTATTAGTTGATTGATATAAAATTCATAAATTAAAGATATAAATTATTTATGCCGACATTATACATGAAGCATTGTACCGATTCATTTCAAATACAGGGCCGACTGTTTAGCGGCTAGAGCAAGCTCTGCAGTACATGTACAGGCTAAATAAGATTAAGCGTGAACAGTGAAGACATTAAAATATTTTTTTATTTTGAACATACAGATTACAATTACAGACTACAAGTACAGACTATAAGTACAGATTAAAAGTACAGACTACAAGAACAGACTACAAGTACAGACTATAAGTACAGAACAAGTACAGACTACAAGAACAGACTACAAGAACAGACTATAAGTACAGACTACAAGTACAGACTACAAGAACAGACTACAAGAACAGACTACAAGTACAGACTACAAGTACAGACTACAAGTGCAGACTACAAGTACAGACTACATAGTAGTAATATATCAACAGAATTTTTCGTTAAGTAAAAGAATATTTAAGTTTTGAACTAATTATCCCAGTTCTTTGTGAAGTTAAATAAATTCTGTGGGTTAGAACTTTATCAGAATCCTGAACAGCGCACTATACATACACAGTAATTTTTGTGTGAAAATCCTCGAAAAAAGTTTTTAAAAAAGGTTTTTTATTCTATTTCACATCTTTGACTTGATTTTTTGTTTCATTTTTTACTTGAAGCGTAAGTTTTGGTAAGACTCTTTATTTAAAGGGGGAGCCTTCATGATCCAAGCCTAAACACAAGTATGATCCAAGCCTAAACACAAGTATGATCCAAGCCTAAACACAAGTATGATCCAAGCCTAAACACAAGTATGATTTTAGAAAAAAATGAAAATTAAGAAATGGAGAATAAATAAAAATATTAATTTGAAATATTATCATTTAGGTTTCCTACACTCCCTTCCGTGGATTCCCAGGATACTTTTTCCCGTACAGAAACCAGCGTGGGTACTTGAGCCCGGTCGTGATGGTACAATTGAAGAACCCGACCCCTGCCGTACTCATGAATCTTGAGTGTACAGCCTGGGCCAGAAATATCAGACATAACAGGTGTGTACATTGTACAACTTTACAATATAAATATGTATCTACGTGTGTAGGTTTTACACATGATTTGGAGGATTTTGTAGCAGTACTTTTGTCACAAAAATATATATTTTAAACACATTTAATTTGTAAGCGTCTGTTTGAAATAATCTTTTGGAACGGTGAGTTTGGGTCAGAATGTTTGAACAGTATCTTGAAACTGCAGTTTTGAAACAACATATTTGAAACCCTCTAAGTATGATTTATTCATAAAAGAGTATGCTATGCTTGAAAAAGTATGTTTGGAAAACTATATTTGAAAAAGTATTTATGAAATAGTTTTGTTTGGAACACTTTATTTGGGACAAGTTTGGAACAGTATGTTTGGAACACTATATTATGAATTATGCATAGCACACAGTATTTTTGGATCAATATTCTTGGAACACAATAAATAATATTTGGATGTTTGGAACAGTATCTATAAAACAATAAGATTGGAACATTGAGTCTATAAAACAGTATGGCCAGAACAATATCTATTCAACAGTATGGTTGAAACAGTATCTATAAAACAGTATGGTTGGAACAGTGTCTATAAAACAGTATGGTTGAAACAGTATCTATAAAACAGTATGGTTGGAACAGTATCCATAAAATAATATGATTGGAACAGTATCTATAAAACAGTATGGTTGGAACAGTATCTATAAAACAGTATGGTTGGAACAGTATCTATAAAACAGTATGGTTGGAACAGTATCTATAAAACAGTATAGTTGGAACAGTATCTATAAAACAGTATGGTTGGAGCAGTATCTATAAAATAGTATGGTTGGAACAGTATCTATAAAATAGTATGGTTGGAACAGTATCTATAAAACATTATGGTTGGAACAGTATCTATAAAACAATATGGTTGGAACATTATCTATAAAACAGTATGATTGGAACAGTATCTATAAAACAGTATGGTTGGAATAGTATCTATAAAACAGTATGATTGGAACAGTATCAACAAAACAGAATGGTTGGAATATATATGAAAAAAAAGAAAAAGTAATTTGTAATATTAAATTTTAGGTTGAAGAGAGAGGGTTTGGTACATTTTGAACTCCTGATGGACTAAACAACAGAAAAAATTAAAATCTTTTTATAAAACTTCTTGTAAAGTGAAGACTGTATGCTGCCTCATAAATAATTTATTTAGGTTGATCAGTTGAATTTTTGATTTGCTTACATTAGTTTTCTCATTTTTCAACTGCACAAATCATCTACAATTGTTGTATACCTATATTGTTCGGATAAAAAATGTACTTTTCTATTGAGCAACTTATCTGCAATATTCGTACAACTGTATTATTCGGACAAAAAATGTACAACTGTATTATTTGGATAAAAAATGCGTTACTCACCTACAATTTATTGTACAACTGTCCTGTTCAGAATACAATTATACAACTGTAAAACTTTTTTACAACTTTACAAATTTCCAAATGTACGTTTGTTCAATTGTACAGCGGAACGATTAAGCAGATCTATGTACAAACTCATCAATTGTACATAAATCTGTACAACGGAACTGAATACCAAGTACCTAAACATAATTTTCTTAAACATGAGAAGTATTTGTAAATAGCTTTCATTCCTCAACCTTCTTCCAGGTTTTCATCTTGCCACTGATGAAATAAATCAATCAACCATATCCTGACGCTCAGTAGTTCTTATTTTCATTAGAAATAAGTTTATTAATGACGAATATAAATAATATTTAAATTTTTTTGTATAAATATTATGTATCAGTTTATGTAATGATATAATGTATTATCCTTGTTTAAAGAAATAAACTATTTTTTGTCATGTTTAATGTATAACATATAATATGTATACTTGTTTAAAGAAATAAACTATAATGTATAATGTATATTCTTGTTTAAAGAAACAGTCGAAGTTACAATCTTTGCCGTTGTTCTTTTTTATATAAAGTGAGCTGGGAACTCTTGTATTGTGGATTTTGAGATCGCAATGTTTGATCTCGATATTTTGTTAATCTGCAGATTAATTTAATATTTATTTGATATCCCGCAGTAATAGTATCTAGTCAGAGCTTGAAGGCAGCTTTGATCCTCAAATTAAAAGTATTCACAGTGGATATCGAGATCTGTGGATCGGGTTTATAAGTATCCAACACAAAGGATCAGGATTATGAGTATCCAACACTAAGGATCGGGTTTATAAGTATCCAACACAAAGGATCGGGATTATGAGTATCCAACACAAAGGATCGGGTTTATAAGTATCCAACACAAAGGATCGGGTTTATAAGTATCCAACACAAAGGATCGGGATTATGAGTATCCAGCACAAAGGATCGGGATTATGAGTATCCAACACAAAGGATCGGGTTTATAAGTATCCAACACAAAGGATCGGGTTTATAAGTATCCAACACAAAGGATCGGGATTATGAGTATCCAACACAAAGGATCGGGATTATGAGTATCCAGCACAAAAGTTCCCAGATTTGAAATTTAATAATTTGTTTTTTGCTTACATTTTTAACAAAGAGCTTCAAACTACTATACAACAATATTAAGTGAAAAGGGAACTGTTTAAAATATTTTTACAAACATACGACTAATAATAGGTTCTGCTAGGTTCAGTGTAAGAGCAGAGATAGGAATATAGATAATATTCATCGTAAGCCCACAAACTTAACATCAGGATATAGAGACCTGTCTGTATTAGGTATATGGAATCTTGCATCTAAAAAATGAAAAGTTTATATTAAAAAAGATATAAACCTAGAAATTTAATGAAAGAATAAAATTGTCTTGACCATGTGTTTATAACATTTTAATTTTGCAATTACCATTGCTAGATAGAACAGCCCTGTTTGCTTCTAACAACAACAAAATCTGTGATCTTAAAAAAATTGAAGAAACAATCTTTTAATTGAAGTTATTACCATACATTTTTTATATTATTGGTTTCATTTTAAATATATTTTTGAATAAACAAATCCAAAATCCAACAATATAATAAAAGAAGAATATTTGATAAAATATTAAGATACAAAGGAATTGACTCTTTGCCACAAACTCTGATTTTCTAATCCTTATATCTTTGGATTCCAATGTCGTAAACCTTTGAAATTACAAACTATGACTTTTGTTAGATCAAAAAATATAAGTTTGAAATATCAAAGGTTAACGACATTGAGTTTCAAAGATATTGGGATTAGAAAATCAGAGTTTGTGGCAAAGAGTCAATTTCTTTATTTGTTTTTTTTAACCCTATATAGCTTAGTATATGTATACCAAAAATTCCAATATCTTTGTTTTGGAAATATGTAAACAAGCTCATTCCTTCCTTCCTAGAAACTGCAGTACACATGTTTTCTTAAACAAAGATGGGAGAGGGTTCCTGGTTTATACATATATCTTGGGCTAACATGTTTTGTAAACATAGATAGGAGAGGGTTCCTGGTTTATACATATATCTTTAGCTAACATGTTTTGTAAACAAAGATGGGAGAGGGTTCCTGGTTTATACATATACCTTGGGCTAACATGTTTTTAAAACATAGATGGGAGAGGGTTCCTGGTTTATACATATACCTTGGGCTAACATGTTTTGTAAGCAACGATGGGAAGGGGTTCCTGGTTTGTATTTCTTGGACTTACCAGGGAAATATAAATGAAATAAGAGATTTGCCAAAACCAGTTTATACTCATAATAAATCCGTAAACAATCCGTGCCAATACCTACAAATAAACAAATAAACATGTAAACAATCCGTGCCAATACCTACAAATAAACATGTAAACAATCCGTGCCACTACAAATAAGCATGTAAACAATCCGTGCCAGTACCTACAAATAAACATGTAAACAATCCGTGCCAATACCTACAAATAAACTTGTAAACAATCCGTGCCAGTACTTACAAATAAACTTGTAAACAATCCGTGCCAATACCTACAAATAAACATGTGAACAATCCGTGCCAATACCTACAAATAAACTTGTAAACAATCCGTGCCAATACCTACAAATAAACATGTAAACAATCCGTGCCAGTACCTACAAATAAACTTGTAAACAATCCGTCCAAGTACCTACTAATAAACATGTAAACAATCCGTGCCAATACCTACAAATAAACTTGTAAACAATCTGTGCTAGTACCTAGAAATAAACATGTAAACAATCCGTGCCAATACCTACAAATAAACTTGTAAACAATCTGTGCTAGTACCTAGAAATAAACATGTAAACAATCCGTGCCAATACCTACAAATAAACATGTAAACAATCCGTGCCAATACCTACAAATAAACATGTAAACAATCCGTGCCAATACCTACAAATAAACAATCTGTGCCAGTACCTAGAAATAAACAAGTATAGCAATCCGTCCAAGTACCTAGAAATAAACATGCAAACAATCCGTGCCAGTACCTAGAATAAAAACATGTAAACAATCCGTGCCAGTACCTACAAATAAACAATAAACAATTCGTGCTCTTACTTACAAATAAACTTTTAAACAATCCGTGCCAGTAACTAAAAATAAACAAATAAACATTCCGTGCCAGTAACTATAAATAAACAAGTAAACAATCCGTGTCAGTACCAAAAAAATAACAAAATAAACATTACGCATGCCAGTACCAACAAATAAAAAATTTAAAAATCCTTGCAAGTAACTTCTGTTAAAATCTAATTCGTTCCCCTGCCTACGAAAAATCAAACAATTTATGTTAAAGCTAAATAAATAAGTAAATCTGTGCCAGCACATACAAATGATTTGTTTAATTACAATCAAAGTAATAAAAATATTCACAAGTGATTTTAATATGCAATGAGGCAAGTTACGCAGACTTTCTTTTTCAGAAATTTTTGTTTTAGTTTTTTAAGATAAAAAAATAACACACAGATGATAAAGAGAAAAATGTGAAAAAAATTATTTAAATTAAAATTTTTCTAAGTTTCCAGAAAATCTTGATTAAATCAGAATCCAGGATTAAAATGTTTCAGCAACCGCACGAGATGAAGTTGAACGTAATTTGAATTGACTCTCCATTTAAACCACAATTGAAGATGATCAGTTTTCAAAATTATAATCATTAATATCTAATTTATACTTGATCATCCAAAAAGTTTTAAAAATCTGGTATTGTCATCTTTGCATGTCGGCGATCACTTGAAAGGTTAAAATAACGTCAACAAGTCCTGAAACTGACCTTCATTTTATGAGCTGTGTTGTTGTCTACAAGAAACCGATTTGCAAAGAATATATGTACTGGGAAGGTGAGACAAGTAGATATACCGTACACCAACAGTCCTGTACAATGTAATGTAGATTTGTGTACATAATAATGAACAAACTTATAGGTAACTTTTTCATGGTCTTACTATGTATACATGAAAGAAACAGTACAGTACAGTACACAGAAATCCACAAAACTCTTTACCGTTACAGCTTGGGTTTTTATTAATTAGGATTTCATTTTTAGCACAAAAATATATTTTTTAAATTTCTATCAATAAGTTAAATAATTATACTAGCGCAGTAAACATTATTTTTAATAAACCTCATTTTTACTTTAGACATGTTACAAACTCATAGAGATTAAAAAATTTACAACGAAACAAGGTTTTTAATTAAAAACATTTCGAATTTAATCTGGGAAAAAAACTAATTAAATTTATTTAGAAAAAAAACTTTCATCCAATTTGTAAATACACAAGGCTCCCCCCCCCCTGTCTTCTATCTGGGGCATATTTTGAAAAATAGGGTGAAGCAACAAACACTTTTCTGAGGGGGGGGGGCATGAGAGTTGAGCCCCGGTGTAAATAATAGCTTGATTAAATTTGTTCAGGATAATAAACGGTCGTCTCTTTGTATATCCATGCTCATTGCTAAAACAGAAAAAATGAGGGAAAAGTTGTTTTATGTTTTTATTCCCGTTGTCAGCTATAGAAACCTGTTTTAATGCAAATTAATGAAGTAGCAATTAGTCTCTGCTTCAATTAGGCTCCTTACATTGATAATCTCTTTTAAACTTTTTTATTTTCCCATTTTCACCTTTGCTTGGTCCTTCTTCTCTAATATCAGACATGAGTATAAGAGGTAGAGCCCCTGCAGTACATATATGATGAAAGACGGTGCTCAGCGCCATCTTTTGGTTTAGAAACAAACCAACTATATCGGTGACTGCGTAGAGTATACTGCCATTCATTAGTGCATCCTCCCACTCAACCCATCTTTTGATAAGAATAATGAGAACAATATTAACGGTAAAGAAACACAATGTTCCTAGTATACATAGATTAATAACAATACAGATATATATCATATATATGTCGTCTTTTCAAGATTTAGAGGTTTTTCGTTAAAAAACGGAGGCAGAGACCTAACGTTGTTACGTGCATGCTGGATTCAATTATTCTATCTGTATTGTTATTAATCTATGCTAATAATAATATTTATATCAACAGGTATGGAAGGGCTCAGTCACCCCCTGGATCAGTAAAATTTATGGTTTCAGGCCCAAACGGGTGATTAGTCCCCATGGAAGGAAAAAATAATTAAAGCCCCCCCCCCCTGGACAAACTCTGTCTGTCTGGTACATATAGAATTTAGTACAGTTATGAACAGAAAAAAAAATTGTCTGTCCTTTACATAAAAACTAAAACAATTATACAAACAATTGTGTATTGTACATAAAGAATTCAGTACAGTTATGTACTTTTCTTCTTGTACATTAAAAATTCAGAACAATTATTCACATGTCTGTCTTGTACATACAGAATCAAGAACGATTATGTACCTGTATGTCTTGTACATACAGAATCAAGAATGATTATGTACCTATTTGTCTGGTACATGAGTGTAGGTTCTGGTAGAAAGATTGTCAGGAAGTTGATGGATATGTACAACATAACAAACCAGGCCAGCGTGTTAGAGATGATGTATGTCTGTCTTCCAAATGATTGTAAACCATACTAAGCATAAGATTAAAATATTTTCCCCTGTAAAGGGACTCATAGCGTGACCCTCCATGCACAGATGGCAATGTTTGTTTCACAAAGCTGAGTCTGGAAGGTATGAATTAGATTTCAATATGTCTAATTTTGAAAACTGATTATTTTTTAATTGAAGTTTCTCTACAAAAGTGACTGAGAAGTAAATACTTAGCACGGTAATCAAAGGGACAACTTTTGAATTTGAAAGTTTAATTTGTGCGATTCTATTATTTAGTTTACTGTAACTGTTTCCAAGTATAAGAATTTCAACGATTTATAAATTTTTTTCTTCATTTTTCAGATTAAATGTTTTTAATTATTTAATTTTCTTTTATTAGATAAAAGACTGAAAACCATTGTTCATGAATAAATTCCGGACGCACAGATGGAGAAAGGAGAAAAAAGATGAACCTTTGAAATTATAAACTATTTTACAAAAATTATAAAAAATAAATTATAAAAAATTGTTTACGAATTACGATGTCAGCATTTGATACTGACCTTATTGTTGAAATTGAGAAGAATGTGAATAACAGGGTGTAGAACTGTGTAAGCAAAAATACTGAAGTAAGCAAAATATTAAAATTGGTCATTTTCAATATTTCTATTAATTTACAAATTGAATTGATTACTCGCCTCTGAGTTTCTAATATTTGAAATCTGATTTCGTGAAGCCTTAATATTTCAAAGCATTAAATCTGCAAGCTGCTAAGAAGCCAAAGTTCATGAATATCAAAGATTTACTCCATTAGATTGCAAACATTGGTTTGTGGTTACAAATCAGTTGAAAGACAAGTTTTGGTCATTGTTACATATTTAGCTTTGCACAAAAGCAATTGATCTATATCTTTGAGTTTATTTGAATTCAATTAAATATACCTGATTAAAAAGAAGTAGGTTCTGTAGATTAGATAAGATTTAATTTGTTTATTCCTAAAGGGTTGATTAGGGGTTCCGGAGGAGAGTAAAAGAAGGGCTTAATATTTCTCATTTTACTCTTCCTACTAATTCTGCTCATTCTACTCTTACTACTTATCCTTCTCGTTCTATACTCCTTCTACTCCTCCTACTCTTAATGCTCATTATTCTCATTTTACTCATCCTACTCATTCTGCTCATTCTACTCTTACTACTAATCCTTCTCGTTCTATACTCCTTCTACTCCTCGAACTCTTATAACTCATTATTCTCATTTTACTCCTCCTACTCTTACTACTCATTCTACGCTTACTACTCATCGTTCTCGTTCTATACTCCTTCTACTCCTCCTACTCTTATAACTCACTATTCTCATTTTACTCCTCCTACTCTAACTATTCATTCTACGCTTACTACTTATCCTTCTCGATCTATACTCCTCCTACTCCTCGTACTCCTTTAGCTCATTATTCTTATTTTTCTCCTCATACTCTTACTACTCATTCTACGCTTACCACTCATCCTTCTCGTTCTATACTCCTCCTACTCCTTTAGCTCATTATTCTCATTTTTCTCCTCATACTCTTACTACTTATTCAACGCTTGCTACTCATTCTTCTCATTCTTTACTCATCCTACTCATCCTACTCATTATACTAATCCTTCTAATCCTACTCATCATACTTATTCTACTCATTCTACTCCTCCTACTCTTCCTACTCATCCTTCTCGTTCTATACTCATCCTGCTCATCCTACTCATTTTACTCATCACACTCATCATACTCATTCTACTCTTACTACTCATCCTACTCATTCTACTCATTCTACTATCCTACTCATCCCTCTCTTCATCCAACTCTTCCGACTCATCCTACTCATCCTAATCATTCTTTTTATCCTAATCGTCCTACTCATCCTACTCATCCTTCTCGTCCCATACTCATCCTACTCGTCCTTTTCTCGTAATTTTCGTCCTATACTCATCCTACTCATCCACTCCTAATTGAGTGCACTGTTTGAAAGTGGAAAATGTAAAAACATTAAAATTAGATTTATTAATGACTGTTCAGAAAATAAGAATCTAGACTAAGCTCTATTTTGTAGTGTCTTACCTATGAAATCTATTTAAATTCCAAATCATTTAGATTTAATTATATTATATCGTATTTATAAATTATAAGCAATGTCCTCTCTTTAAAATATCACAAAGTCAATTAAAAGCGTATTTTTGCTAAATCCAAGATAAAAAATATTTAAAATAGGAACTGCTGAAACAAGGCGTTCACTATTATATCTATATGGAAATATCTATCTATCCTCTGTGTAGACTCTAGGACGGAGTAGAACATGATGATGAACCCACTCGGAGAGAACTAAACCTAGTTCTACTCTAAGATTCTCACGACTATTCCTAGTATTTATCCCGACATTGAGTAAAGGTCTTGTATTGGAAAACTAGGATAGGTTCATTACAAGTTCAAGATTAAATTAAAGAATCATGATTGTCAATCTTAACTTAGGCATCCTACTTTATAGAAATATCCAAATCTTTTATTTTATTTGAGATTCATCACTTTGATTTAATTTCTGTGTTTGGCACGAAAATTTGACAAATTTGCGACAATGAGAACCAGAAAATTCTGGAAAATGAAGACAACTTTTTTGTAAACTCAAGTTATGACTTTTTAAACAGTACATTAAACATGACAAACCGCAATTGTGCAGTGTAAACAAACATACCCATTTAACTTATAAGTTAGACGTAGTACTATAAGTGCTTTGCAACAACATGACATGCAATTAAGGATTGCTTTTATGTCGTCTTCCTACTTCACAATTTGCTTGTCTATATATTTTCTTGCTATTTATATATAAAGTTACATTTACAGTTAATGCTATTTATATATAAATTTGAGATAGTTAACGAGCAGTAACTTTTAAGAAAGAACGGAAAAACTGTTGTCAGAAAAGAAATACAGATGTCTGAAAGGAAAAACTGTTGTCTGAAAGGAAAAACCGTTGTATGAAAAGAAATACTATTGTCTGAAAGGAAAAGCTGTTGTCTGAAAGGAAAAACTGTTGTCTGAAAGGAAAAACTGTTGTCTGAAAGGAAAAACTGTTGTCTGAAAGGAACGTTTAGGTCTTATCAGAGAACGAAAAGATACAAATTTTAACCGTTAGCAAACTATTTGAAAAAGATCTGAATTTTCCCAGTCATAGTCTTCACATATCAGTCTTTTCTCATCTACTTTTTAGATTTTAATATATTTTCAAAGCTTGAAGGATTCTTATGAATATAAATGATATGATTTATTAAATATTGTTTATTTTTAAAAGAATACATTGCTTTCATAGCAATATAATATAAGATTATACTTTCTTCTTTATCTATTTATCATTTTGTAAAAGAAAAATGTAAATGAATAGAACATTTTATTGTTTGTTTTTTTAAGCAAAGTTAGGGGCAGACAACTGGGCAAAGTACACGCCCCCACCCCCTGAGGGGGGGGGGTACGCATGATTTCTATATCCATATCTTCAAAGTTCACTAACCTACAAAGCAGTATAATTTATATAAAATTAATGGAGAGGTTTAAACTTTAAAGTATCTGCAGACATAATTTTAATTCTGATTTACAACAATACCCTTCAAAGCTTTGTCTGATCAAGTATTGCAATAAATATTCATATTTCCCATCTTAAAACCTGATTATTTTTTTTTGTGGTTTCTCTATACAAAAGTAACTGATGCATTGCTTTCTTCAGAAACGATGGAGAAATGAATGTTTTAAAGGTACATCGGACATGCCACTCTATAAATGGAGGGTCACTTGAAATTACGCATGTGTTCCATTTAAGTATAATAACATCATATATCAAAAAATACTTTAAAATCTCACTTTTGCCCTTAACTAAAAAAGTTTCATTAAAAAAGCTTTAATCGATACTGCCTTTGGTGTAAATATATATTTGATATCATTATTTATAATTCAATAGAAACGTTTCCTTCTTTATTTTTCAACCCCTTGAAGCTTACACCACAGTATTACGAAAGTTAAGAAAAATTATAGTTTAAAATGATCAAATATGAATATTGGGTAAAAAGTTATCAGAGTTTGTTTCCAGTTAATTTGTAGTCTTTCTCCTAATTTTTCTTCCATCTTCAATCGATACAATCTATTGTTTTTAAGTATTCCACAAACGTAAAAATCACCAAACCAAAGACCTTCCATTATCATTAATCAGAGCGGGAAGATTTATGGCTGGTTACAGGATGTGAATAAAGAGAAAGATATGGTTAAAACTGTGTATATATATGTATAAGCACACAAAAAGGATAATTCAAAAATTTAGATTTTTTTTAAGGTCGGTTAGGAAATGAAAATTGGAAAAATTAAAAGTAGTTGAATTAAGTTGAATTATACTTAAAGTAAAAGCTAGATAGACTATATACAAGTTAGTGTACGTCTAGTATCATATGTACACCAAATAAATAAAAACTAAAGATAAATTCAAAAATTTATTTGAAGTCAGAACTAGGCACAAGGACATTTTCCTTTGCATTTAACTTTGGTTTTACATTTAGCTAAACAAGGATTATGATAATCATTTCCATCCTCACCACACACTGGACTTATATGTTTGGGGCAGGCGCACACTTCTTCTAAAACACATTTTATCAAAGGCGATAACTTTTGATCGGGATAGCGCTCAGTCACAAATGAACTAACTCGATTTTTGTTGAAAAAGAGGATTGGAGGTTAGTTCTTAAAAATGTAAAAATTAGTTCAATTGAGCAAATATTTGTTCATAAGGACTATAGTCCTTTTGAACGTTTGTCCAATCGATTATTACTCCAATTGATATGACACTATACAGATCTAATCTAGTTAAAAAAATATACAGAAAATTTATCTGAAGATAGTTCTAAGCTGAGCAATCGTTTAAAGAAAGGAACGGACAATTAAACCACCATGGGCCGGGGGATAGGGGGGGGGGGGGCATTGGCCAATTCCGAGCACGTTACACGCAGAAGCACTATTTTATTTTATAGATGCAAAAAACATGCTGTCAAGATTTTATTTGAAATGTTGAAATTGAACCAGTGTGCTCCTGTGTACGGCTCATTATTTCACTGAGAAAACAGCACTACAGTGATAATCAGAAAGCTGTAGAATAGGAAGACGACATTAAAGCAATACTGAAGTACATTTGATGTTATTACAAAGTAAATAGCTTTACTAGTAAGTTATTAAATCACAAGTTAAGTTAAATGGGCCTGGGTTCAGTCATAACTTGAATCCAAAGTGTCGGCTTCCTTTCCAGAGTTTTCTGGTTTTCACTGTAAACCCAAACTTTGAATTTGGGGCTGTTTTTCCTGTGCCACGGTTTAACGATAGAAAAAAATGTCTGTAAGGAGACTTCACCTAAGGCTAGGAGTAGTTCCCAGGGAACGATTGGTCTTTTGCGGGAAACAAATGGAACGGAACGAATTATTAAAAAAATAACTATATTTTTTTTCTCGGAAACGAACGGAACGGAGTGGAACGAACTATTTGAAAAAAGTCTTAACATGCCCAGACCTACCTGTACCTTGACAAGGACAAGGTCCATCACATTGAACACTAGACTTGAACTCAGCTAGACAAGCATTATCATAACTCTTTCCATCCGCCCCACACACTGGACTCAGCAGGCGGGGACATTGCCCTAGAGACATTGTCATAGAAATTTCATTTTGATCGTGTAAACATTAAGCCTCTGATAGAAAAAAGTGTAAAGTGTTGGGTTTTATAAACACCCTTTATATCTACTTGATGATTTACAAACACCCTTTATATCTACTTGATGATTTTTAAACACCCTTTATATCTACTTGATGATTTTTAAACACCCTTTATATCTACTTGATGATTTTTAAACACCCTTTATATCTACTTGATGATTTTAAAAAATCTAATTTTTCAACCTTATGTTACCTACTTTCCTCAAAAAAATCATTTACAGAAACGCCTATTTTGAAATAAGTTCTGGCCTATTTTCTTAATTTTAATTGTTAATATAGATATATAGATATTTATTTAAGCAACACTTGAGATGATTATAATCTATCTAGCTGAAGTGCCCGCCGTTGCCCGTGAAATTTGAAAACACTTGAAAAAAATATAATTAAAAATAATTTATTTTTTAAATCTATGTTAACTACGGGATACCATAACAACAACGGGATACCATGGGGTTTCATAAAAAAATCAGCCGTTTGGTCAGCTATAGCTATCATATTTACAAATATATAATATATATATATATATATATGAGAAAAGAGCTTTATTATTTAGTGATTATAGGTAAACGTATATTATAAGAATATAAGTTGTAATCTCTGTTTATCTGTCTGTCTGTTTGTTCGATCATAACCCAAGAACCCCTGGACGGTTTCCTCAAATTTTTGGGCGAATCACGGGAATGTTCTTAGCTTGGTTCGGGCGAACCACTGGAATGTTCTGAGCTTGATTCGGGCGAACCATGAGAATGTTCTTAGCTTGATTCGGGCGAACCACTGGAATGTTCTGAGCTTGATTTTGAGAGTCTTATTTGAATGAATATACTATTATAGCAAACATATAGTTACTTGGTGAAATCGTACAAGTGCTGGTAAACAACGGGAGTAATTATGAGTAACGTGGGCAACGCTGGTTCCCAAGCTAGTCCATAATATGATTTGAAGCATTTATGGACATTTTTCAAAATTAGGAAATTGTTAAACAAGTATAATATAAACCTGAAATAGAAGAAGAAATTATAAAAATTGCAAATAGAAACAAGCAGATCCAACGTGTTAGAAAGCACATTTAAGAGACACTGATTACTGTTAAAGAAATAAAAAGAAAATTGTTTAATGTTTTAAATTACAGTATGTATTCTATCTATTGTAAAGTATCAAGTTCACATTTATTAATTCATGATGACACTATATCTTCAAATTATAATTTTTTCTTTCATCATTTAAAGGGACTGTCAACGTAAAGTTAAGAAAAATTAAAATCAAAATATCCAATTTTCGACACGGATTGTAAACTTCAAAAATTGAAAAAGATATTCTTGTTTCCTTTTTTATCTCTCCACAACATAAATCCGCAATTGTCCCTTTTTTCTTCAGAGTCAGAGAAAGGTTTAAAGGGAATCGTTGTAAATCATGATTGTAACTCGATTAAGGAAAACATACAACTTAAAAATATGTTGATAAATAAATTTATAACAATATTTATAAAAAATATTTATAAATTAACATTTCTAAGACATATAATACAAAGATATGAGAGTTGTCTTTTTTCCAATTTGTACCATTGGTGATATTTGTGCCATTGATGATATTTGTACCATTGGTGATATTTGTACCGTTGGTAGACAAATTCATTAAATTCTGTCCCCATGAAATCCTTTTTATCTATTTACAATTTAGTATGCATTTCTACATAAAAGACAGTTCTAAAGCTCAGAGCATCCTTTCGATGCTATTTTGTAATTTTATAATTATATTGGATTTAGAATATTTTTTTGATATTAGCAATCTACTTACTTAAAAACATAAATTTTCTTGAAATCTCCTTTTGTCTGTTATTTAAATAAAAACATGGGAAAAGGGTTGGTTTCGCGTTTAAACTGAGTGCAAAGTATTTCCTAGACACCTGGAAATTATTTGTGTTCTGAATTTGTTTAAATTCCAAGAAATAATTTGAAAAAACATACTTTATTTTTTTCTAGGAAATTAAGTGCTTATAGCGCATCTTCTCACACTTCTTATAAAATTTTCTAAAGAGTGTTTCAAAAAACATTCTTTTGGACACAAGCAGCGCTAAATTTAGATCAGCCCTGTGCTACATCTGTGGTACACTAATCCGGCGTTGAATTCCCAATTTACTTCAACCGGATTGACACATATAGTAAATTGGATAGACTCATTTTGTAGGTGACAATGTACACTTTTGATATTTTTCTGAATTCATAGTTTGAAATATCAAAGGTCTTCAGGTTTGGGTCACAAAGGTATAGAGGTTGTAAAATTTAGTTTGAGGCAAGTTATCAGTTCCTTTCTTTTACTTTGTATTTTAAAAATGATGTAATTCCATTAGTGTTGATTTCAAAGGATGCCTGTCCAAATCCAAAGCCTAGCCTACCATTTTCTCACCTTTGAGTGTAATCCGCAACTTTTATGTACATTTAAGTGTGTTAAAAAACTTTTAACATTTTTATTGATTTTCTAAATCAATCCACAAATATACTTAAAAATCATGGTTTTGAAATTAAAGCATCATTTCATTGACCCAGTGTTGAAATAACCATTAACTGTTGAAAAGACAAGTTGAGGCTTTTTAGAAACAAGTTTAAGCCTGGAGCTGAGGGTCTGAGGGGTAACAAAATCTGATAATTTTTTGACCATAAAAAATAATTTCATCATATTAGGTTGTAGTTTTTTTTAGTCCAAGAATCAATTTAATTTAACTTTTTTTCATCAAATATTTATTTTTAAAGATTTAAACTGTTATCTAACCATAATTCAGAAGATTATTTTGTCCATTGTTTTGAACATTGTTTTGTCCATTATTCTGGGGATCAATTTGTCCATTACCTTGAGGATTATTTTGTCCATTATTTTGTCCATTATTTTGTTGATTGTTTTGTCCATTATCCGGGGGGTTAAATTGTCCATTATTTTGTCCGTTATTTTGTCTATTAGCTTGTCCATTGTACTGTGAATAATAGGATTTATCGTCATACTTTTCATCATACTCATAATCATACTCATCGTCATACTTGGGATATAAGGCTCCATTAACTTGAGGATTATTTTGTCCTTTATTCTGGGGATTAAATTGTCCATTAACATTAGGATAATTTTGTTCATTAATTTGGCCATTGTTCCGCAGACGTTTTCTTCTATTGTTATTTCCATTTTTTGGTAGATTTTTTCTTATATTGTTGTTTCTTTTATTTTTTGGATTTTTTCTTTGTTTATTTTTTCTGCTGCTATTTTTCCCATTATTTTGACCTCTTCCATTTGGTCCATAGTTGGCTACTTCTTCCTCATGGTAATTATTAATATTATAAACTTCTTGTTCATCATTTTCATAAATTGCCTCTTCACCGGGTTCAGGAATTTGATAATCATCATCATTTATGACCTTTTCAGTGTTTCTTTTTTCGATCCCTTTTTTCCCATTTGCATTGCCTTTGTTGTTATTTTTACCTTTTTTATTTGACAATATTTTCCCTTCCTTCCTATTTCCTTGTTCAAAATTTGTCTCTCCTCTTTTTTCTACCTTTTCAGTATCTCTTGCTCCTTCTCCTTCGATTTCACCAGTGCCTTCTCTTTCGTTACTGGGTTTTGCTCTGCTGTCTTTCCTTTCTACAATTTCTGTCGTTTTTTCCTTTCCTTCACAGGGACAAAGCCCATAACATTCTTTCTGTGTCCCTGCACAATGAGCAAGACACTCATTTACAAATTGAAGACCATTTACTGCACAGACATGGGAGAATTCATCTTCACACTCACATTCATTTCCAGCTAGAGTATCTTGTAATGCTTTTTCATTTTTATTGGTTTCTTTATTCCCTTGATTATCCTTTTGTCCGTCTTCTATTCTGTCTTTTTTCCTGCCTTCATTTTCTTCTTCATCAATGTTCTGTTTACTATTTGGCGAATCATCTTGTGCATCTTTACCTTCATCATCCTTTTCATCACCTTTCAAATCTTCTTTCTTATCATTTTCTTCATCTCTGGATTTATTATTTTGAGAAGGATCTTGTGTCACATCTTCACCCTCATCATCCTTGTTGTTGCCTCGCAAATCCTCTTTTCTCTCTTCTTTATCATTGGTGGGTTTATTATTTTTTGAAGAATCTTGTGTATTCTTATTATCTTCATCATTCTTTTCCTTGTCTTTCAAATCTTCTTTTCTCTCTTCTTTATCATTGCTGGATTTATTATTTTGAGAAAGATCTTGTGTATTATTATTATCTTCATCATTCTTTTCATGGTCTTTCAACTCTTCTTTATCTTCTTTTTTATCATTGCCGGATTTATTATTTTGAGAAGGATCTTGTGCATCATCTTCACCTTCATTATTCTTTTTGTTTCCTTTTAAATTTTCTTCACCTTCTTTTATATCATCGATGGATCTATCATTTTTTGGAGGATCTTGTTCATCATCTTCTTTGTCTTTATTTTCATCCCTTTTTAAATCATCTATCTCATCATCTTTATTATTTCCTCTTTTCTTATTTTTTGAGGAATCATGAGTATCATCTTCACCATCATCATCCTTTTTATCTTCTGTATTATCATCTTTATTCTTTCCAGGTTTATTATTTCTTAAAAGATCTTCTTCAGTCCTTTTTCTATCTCCTTGGTCTTTATCCAAGAGATTTTTTACTAGACTTTTTATCTTGTCTGGATCATCTTCCTCATCATCCTTTTTATTGTCACTCAAATCTCTTTTGTCGTCTTCAACATCATTCTTTTTCCTGTCTTTTTTATTATCATTTAATGCATCTTTATCATCTTTAGTAGTACTTAAGGCTTTTGCCTGTGGTGATTTTTTTGCTGTATCACCTTTTTTGTGACTTTTTTTACAACCAGGTTTTTTAACTTTATTTTTTTGTTTTTCACGTCCTCTCTCACTTTGAGAATCATTTTGGTTTCTACTATCAGGATCATTCAATTCATTTAATTGATCCTTGTCCTTTTCATTTTGTTCCTCATCTTGCGATTGGCTTAATTTGTTGCTACTTTGTGCACCTATGAAACAGGATTTGGTCGCAGTAGGGCTACAGGAAATTAAGTTTTTTTTACCCACTTTGCTGTATCTAAATGTAAAATTTCAATATTAATGTTTGCCCATATAAGAATTTATTTAGAATTATTTAAAACTGTGAAGTTTCAGAAAATAACAGTACTATAATATTAGGGTGCAAAATAGGTGACTAATTTCCCATAGCCTCACTGTGTGTTTTACAAAGAGAAAATAAATTTAGCTTTCAGCAATTCAAAGTTAAGTTTCATTATCAGTGCTAAAAGTACTAACAGTTTTTCTTTTTACAAAAAAAATAATAATGAAAATCAAATAATTATTTTGTTACATTTTATGGTTTAAAACCTAATAAAGGATTTTATGTTATCATTATTGTTATAAAAAATGTGCATAAGTATAATAATATTAGACACAAATCTTGCAAAACAAAATGATATCCTGTACTGACTAAAAATTGGCAATGCATTTAAGGTTATTTTACCTTTAGTTGGATTCGCACTTAGTAGATGTAAGAGGATGAATAGGAAAAAACAAATTGTTTTGTAATACATTTGGTTACTTTACAAACTAACTCTTACAATTCTGAATAATATAAATAATCAGACAATCAGGTCCTGTTATTTAATATGTTTCAATTATTTTTAATAAACTATTATTTTAAAAACTTTTATACATGCATAAGGTAAAAACAGGATTTAAAATAAAAGTTATAGACATGAGACCTTTGAAGGCGGTTGTATAAAACCTATTTTAAACTTTCAGAGTAATTGTCACTTTAGAGACATTTTGTGATTTTATTACCATTAAGATTATGGATACTCAGATTAAGTAATTGGGATTAAGGATATCTCATTTTAAAGTTTTCAGCTCTGTGTGTATACTGCCTTTGTGACACTGCACAGCTTGGCAGCAGCAGTCTGCAGTACACCCTTGTTTATACTGAAACCAGTTTATGTTTACAACCTTGCAACTTCATGAAATATAGAGATGCATAGAAACAAAGAAATACTTCTTATATTGCTTAATTCAGAAAAATGATAAACCCCCACCCCTCTCTAAGTGACTGTATTAATCAAACTTGAATATAAAACAATTTTCTTGAGGAAAACATTTTTAAATAAATTTTTTTTTTGCTAAAATATATAAGATTTAGAAGTTTTTATCTTTAAAAAAATGTATTATTCAAAAGTTGTCTGTAAGTCTGTTCATCAGCTGTTGTAGGGTAGACAATTCTGCCACAAATTAGGCAGCATGAATCCGTATTTCCCAAACACAGGTGTTAGTGTTAAGAGTGGTATAAGAGCAGTATTAGCTAATATAACTTTTATACAACACTCAAGATACCGGACTCTTGGACTGGCCTATTTTCAGTACATAATGTGTATATAAATTATGTCTATTGAAATCTAAAAAAATTTAAAGATTGATTTAAAGAATCACAGTAGATTTGCAAAATTGTAATGAGAAAATTTGCAATTTTTAGTTCTGGTCTAATTTTCAAGACAAAGTTTTTTTTATTTCTCTTGTTCCTTTCTTCTTAGTATATTCTAAAGTATTAAATATACCCTGTTCAGTTGAAACCGTAAGAACCATTGAAAAACAGTTTTTCCGTAAAAATTATACCAGAACTGAAAATTGTGAATTTTCTAATTACAATTTTGCAAATTTTCTGAGATTCTGTGAATCAATCTTTTTAAAATTTCAGATTTCAATAGAAACAATTTATTTACACATTTTTGTTTTTCTGAACTTTTAATTTTGAGAGAAAAAAATGTTTGCAGATTTTTTTTTTTCGGGCAATAGAAAAAAATAAAAATTTTTCAAAAAACAGTGAAAAACACCATACAGGAGAGTTGCACAAAAAGGTACAATTTTGCACCAGGCACCACAAATCACACTTTTTTTTGACTCACCCTGTACATACATTCAAATGATATTTATGAGCAAAGAGCTTTAATGTATTGACCTTATTCATTGGCCACCAGTATTGGCTTGGATTTCAAGCAATAGACATTCTAACTCTGTTATAAAATAGAATAGTAATTTGTTTAATTTGTTGGTTGGAATTCAACGATTCTGTTTAATCATTTAAAGAATAGAGTGAGTGATCTTTTGCAGAAAGTTATATTTAACCAGAATTCCAGCCGAGTCCAGGCAGTTGAGATTATACCAACACTGGATTCATGCCTTTTTGCTGCAAAGATCTATCCCATCTGAGCAGGGATTTATCCCTATCCACCATCCACCTCCTCTCAGACCAATTAGATAGAATATAATTTTGTTAATAACTAATTAAATATCCAAATGTTCTTGTGAACCTTTTTGATATATATAGATATTACAATGGATCCATCCAACCTCTCCACTAGTTCCAATGGTTAAACATCTAAACTCTGGAACATATTATTATTATTATTATTATTATTATTATTATTATTATTATTTTCTTTATACTCCCTCACCTCCTCCTTACCTTTTACCTGATTTATTATCATTTTTATGTTTAAAATGTACAATGTACATTGTTTTTATCTGCAATTCTCATTCGTTTATAGTGGGCCAACCAATTAAAACAACCTACTCTGGTTAGGCGGGTCCAAACTACAAAGTAAATTGTGATTTTTTTATTTGTATTATGAATGAATTATAAATATGAATGAAGTAAAAGACATCATTTGTAACATCTTTATTTGACCAATAAAGGCGTAGTAATAAATTACAGGGCATACATGAAAAAAATAACATAAAATGTATTGTTTTCAGATTTAAAAACATTTAAATATTCTGTTTATTTTTATTCTAAAATTGTGACATTAAAGACTTTCTCACAGATGACTAAACCAAACTCTAGAGAACTTGTTCAAACTGGACTAGAGTGACAGGTGTAAGGACTTTTAAAGGATAAATTCTATTTAATTTAGTTTAAATTATCCTGTTACAGTGGACATGTAGAAGGGCAATCTATCAGATTAATAACATTAAAAACATTCAAGACTTTTTTCCATTATGGACAATTTACACCTAAACTAATCATAAGCAAAATTCTTAGCAAGAAAGGATATTGATATTGAAGAAGCTATTTTTAAATATTCATTTTATATCAATCTCTGAGAAGATTTAACAATACTCTCAGCTTAATGTAAAGTCAACAGAAATAGATAAAACAGAAGGTAGATTTTTTTTCTGTGAAACTATATGCATAAAAATAACCTATTCATAAATAATGATAAAAAAGCTCTTTCAACTGTTATTTTACCCAGAACAATTTATTTATTATTATTTATTTTAAAAAAATTTATTTTAATAATTTTAGTATGTGGATTTTCTTGATTTTATTACAGATTGAAAGAAAATCTATTAATATTAAGCTGCATTGCATCTACATCTCTAATGTTTCCCTTTTGTCCTTGATGCTAGCCCATAAATATTGTAAATACAACATGATATTTTAGTTGAAATGAAATCATGAAGATCAAATTTAAAAGATTTGGCAATAAAAGCTGTATTTGTAAAATCTCATAATGATGAGACTTCAAAACATCACTAAAGTGTATGCAATATCTTACTGTAAAATTTAAGGTTTTAAAGTACAAATGCCATCAGTAAGAATAAAGTTATTTCAATGATGAGACTTCAAAACATCACTAAAGTGTATGCAATATCTTACTGTAAAATTTAAGGTTTTAAAGTACAAATGCCATCAGTAAGAATAAAGTTATTTCAATATTTCTTTATTTCCCTAGTAAACTTATTTCTTTTAATTTGTTTTTCCAACATTATGTATTCTTCTTTCTTCTTTTCCTTTACATTTTCTTTTTCTTTTCTTTGGTTCTAAAACATTTTATTTATAATTCTTTTATAAATTTTCAGATACATATCATTTCAGTTAGTTCTTTCCAAAAGTCTAACAACTTAAATAAAACTTAATCTTGTGTTTATTATAATCATCAAAGTGAAAAAATTCTCGAAATAAAGCTCAAAGTTACCTCTTTTACTGCTTTTCTCTTTATGAACATTTTTTGCATTGCTGATATTGTAATCTGCAGCAGAGCCCTGGCCAGTAAATTGCCCATTAGCTTGAGGGTTATTTTGTCTATTAGCCTGAGGGTTTTTTTGTCTATTGGCCTGAGGGTTATTTTGTCTATTTACTCGAAGGTCATACTGTTTATAGTTCTCATCAACATATTTATCTGTTAGCATCAGGTTTATTTTTGCCATTATCCAGAAGAATTTTTGGTCTATTTTCCTTGCCATAATTATATTCATCATCATATGCCCTACCATCATAATGATATTCATCTTCATCAACTGCCTTATAGTCTGCATTTTTAGCAGCTTCTCTATCATCATCCAAATCATCACTATCTTTATTAACAGATACATCTACTAAAATCATAATCTTTATCAATTTAAAAAAACTTTATTATCCACATTTTCATCATTCTTTAGCCTTTTCCATTTATATAATAATTACTTATTATTTTTCTTTCTTGGCCTTTTATATTTTTTCCCACACCTTCTTACCAACCTTTCTAATTTTTCTATTCTTACCACTTACCTCACCTTTATAGTGTTAAATAGTTTAGTAAGCTTAGCATGAAATAAAAAATAAAAAATTGATCTGTTATATTTTAACAACCTTTAGCTGTTTAGCACAAAGGGTATTAAGGATTATGAGAAGGATGATAAAAATATTCCAGATATACATTAATGTAATTTACATACTAATTCTAAATAAACTTTTATATGTATTATTTAAGAATAGTAATAACAAGAATATGAAGCTTTAAAATTTATATAATACTAATCCCAATTAAATATGAATACTGCTTCCCTATTTTAGATATATATAAAAATGCTTGATTTATTTAATTCATACTGGATAAGACAAAGAACCTAAGACTGCCATTGTGAATCTGACATGCATGTTTTTATTCTTATTTATACTGTTAACGGTTTATTTTTCAATATCAGTTGATGCAACTAAACTGATAATTACTTAAAGGGACTGTAAGCAAATTTTAAGAGACCCTCCAAAGAAATATTGCAATATCAGATGTACAACAATCAGATATTACAAACAACAGTAATTGATTATTTTTCGGCTGATTTGTTTAGAATGAAATTGATTTTTTTACAATTCGAGTTGAATGTTGCAACTTATGAGTTGTTTTTAACAATGTTCTCCTTATAGACGCTACAGATAAAAGTAAGATTAGTAGAGATCAAAAGAGATTATTTTTCGCTGTAAGCCTATACCCCCTTTCATTTTTTGCAAACACTCCCTTTAAGTTTGTTTTTCAGAAAAGTTATGCTATGGGTTTACATGACTCCCTTCAACATTTTTAATTAACGTTTAGAATTAAGATGTAAACATTTGGGACTGAAGGGGCCATATTGCACATGAACATATTAAAAAAAACACTATTTATGATGCTGCAAAAATACAAGTATAAACATTGAATAAACGCACATTGAATTAAGATATTTTTATAAAGAAATGGAAAACCAAAAAACTGAAAAATAGTATTAACATTGCAAAAATCTCCGAATTGTATATCCCATGTATAATTCCTAGATTAGATTTCTGGAAATAATTTCCTTTCCGAAATTAATTTTTTTCTACTTTGATTAATACTCTTCAGTTCTGTTTACTGATATTTGAACTTATAGGAAAAAAAGCCAAACAAAAAGTTTAACATAATTTTCAGTAAACATTCATAATAACAAGGATTAAATCAAATGGATGTTATAATTATATTTAAATTCTGTAACAGATTCACCCTTTTGTATATTAATTAACAGCAATATTTCAAATTATAAGAAATGAAAAACTTATTAATATCAATTATTTTTAAATAAAGCTGCACAGTTAGTTGTAGATTTATTTCAATGTATTTCTGGCGGAATTGTTTAATTTTAGTTCTATGTATTCAAGCTCTAAATGCAGATCCAATCAGAGGTATTCAATAATTATCAAGCAGCCTTCTTTCATAAATACAAATAAATACTAAACATTTTTGTTTGTTCAAAATAAAAATTTGGCTTGGTTTGGTAAGTATTTTATGCAGAATCTTTCATGCTTTGGGATAGTTTTTACTTTGGCATATTTATGGAAATCTAATCGATATAAAGCGATAAGAAAGAGAGGCAAGAATAGTAAAATAACATTTAATTTAAATAGTTAAAAGTTTATTCATTATTTGAATTATTTTAAGGTGTACAAAGAAACACTCAAGAAAATAAAAAACCTGATAAAGAAAAGGGTAATAAAAGGCAATATTTAGCAGACAAGAAAAAGAGTAAAGACGATAACAATGACCAAGTTGGTGATGATGATTCAGTGAATAATAGTTTAGATGAGAGAACAGGCAATGATGATAAAAACACAGACAATAATCAAGATAAAGATACAGACAAGAATCCAGATAAAAATACAGACAATAATAAAGAAAAAAAGAAAAGTGAAAACAATGCTGATCAAAATGAAAGAAGAAAAGATGATGAAAAGAATATTTCAAGTGACAATAATCAAGATGATAAAGAAGATAATAATTCTCAAGGGATAGAAAATTATCAAGTAGATAAGGACGAAAACAACCAAAAAGATAACAAGGGAGAAGTTAAAGATCAAGATGGTAAAGAATCTGAGGCTACAGGAGGTGAGATGCATTTTAAAGTTTCAATTTAAAATAAAAGATATTCCATAACACTTTTATGCACACCCAACAAAGCAAGTAATACATGCTCTGAAGTCAAAACTTTAAGTTGTGAATCTCAAGATTAATATCTATCTTATGGAAAATTACGGAATAATCTAATTCATTTTCAATACCCAATAGTGATGTCCCAGAAAGAAGGGATAAATTTTGGTTTAAGACATTTAAAAAAAAATTAACGTCAAGCTTTCAAGACTAAGGATATCTAAAACATTTAGTCAAAATTTAAAAATTACTATTTATATTGATATTTAGAAGACAAATGTAAATGTGAGAAACTATTTTCTCATGTGTGTGCTAATGATGGAAAGCAATATGAAAATGAGTGTCTAGCACGATGTGCTGGGGTGGAGAAAGCATGTGACGGGTTATGTCCCTGTTTAGCCAAAGATGATGAAACTATAAAAATAAAAGTAAAGATAAATGAGGATAAAAAAGCCAAGAAAAATAAAGGAAATGAGGGGGAAAGTAAAGCCAAGGAAGATAAGAAAGCCAACCATATTATAGATGTAATAATTGAAGGTGAAGAGGATGATAAAACTATTTCTGGAGGTGAATCAAAATATCGGTTGAATCAAGAAAATGTAGAAGAAGAAACTGAAGATAATGTAAAAGGTGATGAAAAAGATGGAACAAAAGGAAATGAAAAAGAAGAAACTGAAGATGGAACAAAAAGTGATGTAACAGTCCATAGAGGAGATAAAGTGAAAGATGATAAAAAAGAGCAAACAAAAGATGGAACAAATGGGGATGAGACAAAAGAAACTGATTATGAAACAAAATATGATGAAAAAGATGATTCTGAAGATGGAACTAAAGTTGATGAAAAAGAGAAAGCTGATAATGGAAGAAAAGATAATGAAAAATATAAAACTGATTATGGAACAAAAGGTTATGAAAAAGAGGAATCTGGAGATGAAACTAAAGGAAATGAAAAAAAGAAAATTAATGATGGAATATACAGTAATAAACATAATAAAACAAAAGATGAAGTAAATAACCATGAACAAAATAAATCAGAAGATGAAATGAATGGTGATGGAAAGAAACAAACAGAAGAAGAATTGAATCATGATGGAAAAGATAAAACAGAAGATAAAATGAATCATGATGGAAAAGATAAAACAGAAGATGAAATGCATGGTGATGAAAAAAACAAAACAGAAGAAGAATTGAATCATGATAGAAAAGATAAAACAGAAAAGAAAATGCATGGTGATGAAAAAAGCAAAACAGAAGATGAAATGAAAAATGAGAAACCAGATAAAGCAGGTGAGGAAACAGGTAATACAAATTTCAAAAGGCACATATATGAATATAATGGAGTTATTTTAGCGTTTAACAAATTTAATACTGATTAATCATATTCATCATACTTAAAATGAAAAATTAAACATTAACAATTCTGCTTCAGGTAGAGATAAAGTTAAGGATGAAGATGGTGAAGAAGCAGATAATTCTCAAACAGAAAAATCAAAGAAAAATCTAGATCAGGAGGATGGGAAGAATAATAATGAAGGAGAAGAAGGAGGAAAGGGAAAAGGGGAGATGAATGAAAAAGAAAATGAAGAAGGGGATTCTGAAAAAATGAAAAGTAAAAAAGGGAAAGGAAGAAAGGGTTACAGAGGTAGCAAAGGTAAAGGTGGAAGAGCAGGAAAAGAAGAAAGTAAGGAGAATGGGAAAGGAGGAAAGGGTTATAAAACAGAAGGAAAGCGTAAATAAGAAGATAATGCTGGTGGAAAAGAATATAATAAGAAAAATAATGGAAAAGAGAAATAAAATAGAAATAAAATCAAGCAAAAAATAAAGGTTAAATATTAAGTTGTAAATATACTTATTTTTAATTATCTAATTAATTAATTTTTATGCATCATATTGATGTAAATTAAAAGACAATAACTCTGTTGGTAATTCTAATACGAAAACCAAAGTTGGAATTCTGACTTTTGGAAAAAAAATTGTGCAAGGTCATCTAAATTACTCTAAATCTAACCTTGACTCAATTAAGTGTACAGAGATGTATATCCACAGGAAAATGGACAAAATAACCCTTTAGGGAATGGAAGCTTACATTTATAGAAAGACAGAAATAATAACCCTCAAGCATAAAGAGACGTATATCCACAGGAATATAGACAAAATAACCCTCAAGCATATAGTGACATATATCCACAAGAAAATGGACAAAATAACCCTCAAGCATATAGAGACGTATATCCACAGGAAAATGGTCAACTTACGTCAAGAATATAGAGACGTATATCCACAGTAAAATGGTCAAAATAACCCTAAAGCATATAGAGACGTATATCCACAGGAAAATGGTCAAAATAACCCTCAAGTATATAGAGACGCATATCCACAGGAAAATGGACAAAATAACCCTCAAGAGTATAGAGACATATATCCACAGGAAAATGGACAAAATAGCCCTCAAGCATAAAGAGACATATATCCACAGGAAAATAGACAAAATAACCCTCAAGCATATAGAGACGTATATCCACAGGAAAATGAACAAAATAGCCCTCAAGCATATAGAGACGTATATCCACAGGAAAATGAACAAAATAGCCCTCAAGCATATAGAAACGTATATCCACAAGAAAATAGACAAAATAACCCTCAAGCATATAGAGACGTATATCCACAGGAAAATGGTCAAAATAACCCTCAAGCATATAAAGACGTATATCCACAGGAAAATGGACAAAATAAACCTCAAGAGTATAGAGAGGTATATACACAGGAAAATAGACAAAATAACCCTCAAGAGTATCGAGATGTCCATTATACAAGATAATGGACATTAAAACCCTCAAGTGAATCAACAACTTAACCCATTAGGTGGGGATTTCAATTTAAGGAATGAGATAATAAACTAGGTAAACATAGCTGTGGATTTAAATGTTGAAAAGGCCAGGGATAAAGAATTACTCTGGCTTAACTAAGTAATATTTGCAATATTTGAAATACCATCTAAATCATTGATTTCCAATCAGAATTCTGAGCCTAGGTGTTTATGTTTATTTTTAAAAGATTTTTTATTTTACTGGGCCTAAAACAACTAACTTGTGGAATATGCATTTCATAGATTATAGGATAAAAAGTTTAAATTTAAGTACAGGCACCAGATGCTATGGAATTGCAAGAATTTGTTGAACTACATAGAGACAGTTGAACCATGTATCTTTAATTTTTGAAGTAAAACTATTGACTTCAGGCCAAGTTCTGTTTCAGCCAATAGATTGATTAACCTAAATTTTTTGCACTTTGATTGGTTGGAATTTTCAGCAAATTTTCTGCATCAGCTGACTTCAAATTAGGGTTGTTCAAAATCTTTGAATCAGGATTTGACCCAGTGAGCACTTGAGAAGTAGTTGAACCGACAATATGAAGTTTAGCGACCTTTTTAAAATAAATTAAATTCAACAAATCAAGAATATTTCATATTATGCATAATTTATTTAGTTTCATAGATGTGCAATAAATTTTTTCAGAATTTTTGTTAAATAATTTTCTGTATTTCAAACTTGTCTATGACCATACCTTTAAATAAATTGAGCAAGAAGGATTAACCTTATATAATATATACCCTCTTTCTTATAATCATTTTCTAAAATATATTTAGCAGATATTGTATTTTTGAAAAGTCATGAGGCATAGCAAAGTCTGTTTTCCAAAAGTCATCACTTCCTTCCTTGAATAAATTTTGTTCGTTCTGTGTAATGATACAGGGTGTTCCAATAAACATGTGAATTCAGTGACAAATTCGATATCGTCTTTGTTATGAATTAGTATTGTAGTACCTAATTTCTAAAGGCATAATATTATTATGTCTGCTAGAGTTACTTTATGAAAAGGGTAAAAGACTGAAGCAATTGAACTAAAGCAATTGGAAAATGGCAACTTTTCGAATGTAGGTAACATATAGGTGGGACTCAGAACATTTTAGAACAGTAAAATGACAATTAATCAATCTTTATGCATTTATATTTAAAAAAAGCAAATACTATTGCTTTTAAAAGCAGTCTTTATATTCAACATATTTCTGGTTCTCCATGCATCTTTTATTTCTATATGATTCAAGTATATCTCTATATGATTCAAGTATATTTCTATATGATTCAAGTATATTTCTATATGATGCAAGTATATTTCTATATGATGCAAGTATATTTCTATATCATGCAAGTTTATTTTTAAATGATGCAAGTATATTTATATATGATGCAAGTTTATTTCTATATGATGCAAGTATATTTCTATATGATGCAAGTATATTTCTATATGATGCAAGTATATTTCTATATGATTCAAGTATATTTCTATATGATTCAAGTATATATATATATATATATATATTATGCAAGTTTATTTCTATATGATGCAAGTATATTTCTATATGATGCATGTATATTTCTATATGATGCAAGTATATCTCTATATGATTCAAGTGTATCTCTTTATGATTTAAGTATATTGCTATATGATGCAAGTATATTTCTATATGATGCAAGTATATTTCTATATGATTCAAGTGTATCTCTATATGATTCAAGTATATTTCTATATGATGCAAGTATATTTCTATATGATGCAAGTATATCTCTATATGATTCAAGTATATTTCTATATGATTCAAGTATATTTCTATATGATTCAAGTATATTTCTATATGATTCAAGTATATTTCTATATGATGCAAGTATATTTCTATATGATGCAAGTATATTTCTATATGATTCAAGTGTATCTCTATATGATTCAAGTATATTTCTATATGATGCAAGTATATTTCTATATGATGCAAGTATATCTCTATATGATGATTCAAGTATATTTCTATATGATTCAAGTATATTTCTATATGCAAGTATATTTCTATATGATGCAAGTATAACTTTTGAGAATATTAATTACTACAATTTTGCGGATTTTAAATACAAGACGACATTTTCATAATTTTTAATACAATTAATGATATTTTCACAATCTAAAAAAATGTTTGAAAAATCCAGCTAGAGACAAAAAACTAGTTTTTAATAAGAAAAAAAAATAAAAAAAAATTGTAAAACAAAGGTAATGGAAATTTTTATGATTTAAAAATATTAGTTCAGCTTTAAAAATTAATTAAAAACCTAAGCTAACTAATTGTGAACTTGATACTTCATATTACAGTATAAAACTAACAGGTCCTAATTTCTCTGCAATATACAATTTTTAGTTTCTATTTCACATGTGCTTTCTTAGGAGGTGGAATTTTTTATTTCTTTTTGCACTTTGTCTGTGCACGTCACAAATCTCAGGTTACAAAATACAAGTATTAAATTATAAATATTTTATTTGTCTTGCTCAAAGAAGAAAATTCAGGGCCATTTGCTCCAAGCCTGAATGAAAATATTTTATTTATTTCCTTAAGTCCTCAAATAAATCCGAAATTTGAATTTAGTGTTAGGTTCAATTAATTAAGGAAAATTGTCATATTTTATGAGTTTGAGGTCGTCTTTACAGTCTCATCCTATGTGGTTAACCCTGTAAATCTGGTTGTAAAGGTAAAACATGCAAGTGTGGGCGCCTGCTGAAACCAGTATGTGGGGTTGATGGAAAGATTTACTCTAATCCTTGTCTTGCTAGATGTGAATCTAAGGTTCAATGCATAGGCCCTTGTCCTTGTAAAGGTATGCTGCATTTCTACTTTCTAAATTTAACCAATACTATGAGCTTTTAGGGCAATTCAACTTTTAATCTGTGAGCATTTTCTCGTTGTATAATATAAAACAATGACAAAAAAAAAGTTGACGGATTAAACAATATTTTTTCGCGCTTTTTCAAAATTTAACAAAAATCAAAAATTTTTGGACACAAACTTTTGTAATTATTAGCATTCAATAACCTTCACTGAGGAGGTCATGTGAGGTTCAAAACTAAATTTTGGTCAGATCAGTTTTGCGGTTTTGGGGGTTATTGAATACAAACGGACAAACTGAATGTATAGATTTAGTAGTGTCGAATATGAATCAAAACTCCACCAACCATCTAAGTCCTCCTCCGACGTCAAGGGGGGCGGAGCTCTGATCAATATAATATTCATCTCTTAAGTTCTAGTATAGTATAAGTATTAATCTCGTAGTTATTTGTATAAATTATGTTTTGTGACTCTTGCGTAGTTGAGCTAGTTACAGAGAGTGTTACTACGCTTGTCTTGGTTATGTAGAACAATTCCCTCCCTGAATAAAAAAAATTATATATTACTATGTATTAATTATGTAAAAATGAATACTAATTATGGATTAATCTAGGAAAGAGCTGTCCATGTCCAAGGAACTTGGAACCCGTGTGTGGAGCAGATGGGAATAATTATAACAATCCTTGTTTAGCAAAATGTGAATCTAAAGTTAAATGCAAAGGAAAATGTCCGTGTTAATAAATAAACTGTTCAACACATGGAAAATTTAACGTCCGACTAAGCCCCCTGTCGTACATTTCATTCTAAAACGTAAAGGAATTAAGCTTTTGCCTAAAACTGTGATTTTCTAATCTCAATATATTTGCAGCCCAATGTCGTAAATCTTTGTTATTTTAAGCTATGAAATCTGTTTACGCAGTCAGGTTGAAAAGAAATAGAGATAAGAAAATTTGAGCTTATAGGAAAGTAAAAACATTAGAACTTTATGAAAATGACTACATATTTTTTCTCTCAATGCTAAGATAGTACCTTGAAGTGTGCAAGGGTGTAATGGAAGGAAAGTTAATTGCGGTCGCGTATACTCTGCGTACATATTGAAAACAGTTCTCTCTGGGCGG